GTGTAAATATGTGTTTTAAATAACACGCTACAATGTTAGAAACAACACAGACACACAACGTTGCGTGAGAAGATGATCCTGCTGTCGTTTTGTAATGTATTTGTTATATATTCAAAAATTCCCTTTTGATAGGCCACAAGGAAGAAGATAGCCTGTTACGCAATACCCACATTTTCTTACAGTGAGAAGGTAATACTCAGTCACTGTATCGCACCACAGATCCTCTAAAAGACACGCCCAACAAACCAGCTGAGACAGAGTTAAATGTAAGAAGTTTATTATGTTTTCTTTATCTTTAAAGCTCAGAAGGTTCTTTTTATAGAACCAACAGTGTAAAGAAGCTAGTATTAAATACTACAATGATTGATTGATCTGGATGATCCAGAGGGGGATTGGGAGAATATCCTATGGTCATACAAATCCAAAATGTATCTTTCAAATAAAAACTCAACATGTTGTGTTTGGAGGAGAGAGAATGCGGAGTTGCATCCAAAGAACACATATAGCTACTGTGGAGCACGGGGAAAGGGGGTGGAAACATCATGCTTTGAGGCGGTTTTCTCTGCAAAGAGACCAAGAGGATTGATCTGTGCGAAGTACAGAATGAATGAGTAATTGGGAAATCCAGAGAAAAACCGCAGCAGTAAGGACGGTAGATGAAACTGGTTCTTTCAGATTCAATTAATTTCAAACCGTTGAATTCGCTAACACAAATCAGAGAATAAGACAGTTCAAAGACAAAGAATATACAACACATAGGTATTGGTCCATAGGGGTAGTTGACCAATGGCCATGAATGTTGATAAATATCCATATATGTTGTTGAATGTTGAGTGTCCTGGATCATCACCACAGTTTCACTAACAGACCTCGGAGAGGTCCACATTGAGAGAGGGATCCACTCCCATGGACTCCCAAGGCCATGCGGTGCAGGACTCCTGACATTGATCCCAAACACACTGCGAAGGCTTCAGAAGTATCTCCAGGTCCTGGAGCATCCTCAGTCTCCAGATCTCAACTCTAAAATAGAAAACCTTTGGAGTCAGTTGAAATTCTGTTATCCAGCAACAGCCACAAAACATCATTGCTCTAAAAGAGAGCTGCAGGAGGAATGGGCCAAAATACCAGCAACGGTGTGAAAAGATAATGAAGACGTTTGACTTCTGTCATTGGGATTTTATTCTCACGTCTCTCATAGTTCGAGGTTAATCTATGTTGATAATTACGTCTTTTTAAGTGGAGGACTTGCACAGTTGGTGACAAACTATCGTTTTTATCCCCACTGTATTTATTTTTCCCTAACCGCCTCAATAACTTCACTGGTTTTTATTCAGCTGTTCTTGTCTGTTCTTGTATTTAGCTCATGGTGGAAACAAGTTATAAAATAAATATAATGTATAAAAGCAATGCTTAAATAACTACTATATGAGAGACAATTTAAGAGTGCAGGTTAAAGTAACATTAGTAGCAGGTGATGTAAGATCCATTTCCTGTTTAAGTTCAGATTTTAAGTTTAGATTATAAAGTATGATGTTATCTCTGTCCAGACAAGGCCTACGATTACAAATCAAACTTGGCCTTTTCTTTTACAAAACGTTCTGATTATACTTAAATAGACATGAGTTCTGTGTTTTCCAGCTTTTTGTAAAACTGTGAACTTCCTGAACTTGTATATAATCTTCTAGAACCCAATAATTAAGCATAGAAAACCTGTTTAAGACTTACCCGTAGCTCAGTGTTTTAAAATGAGGAAGTGTGTTCAAGTTCTTTTACAATTGAATCATTCTTTTAATAGGAATGGTTTAGTGTGAACCAGGAAATTGTTTTCTTCTTTGTGGCGGCTGCAGCTGTGATGATGCTGGACTTGGAAAACGCTCCAGGAAGAATAATCTTTTCTCTCAGTTACTGGAATGAGACCCAATTATTATAACCACAACACCATAATGATAACTCCTTCAGACGCCATGTCTGAGGCAATTATCAATCTGTAGATTCATTTTATTCCCCTTTCTTCATTTTTGTGTCAGGGCATTCAGCTGCCACCCAATGCTCAGAGCACCAGCCCCTCACTGATCCCCTGCAGGTGGTGAGTCCACAAGAGGATGGCTTCTCTGTCTGTTAGAGGATAAAAAGAGATAAAAAGGAGTGGGTGGAGAAGGCCTCATGCTGCACCCTGAGCCAAAGCAAACTCCTAGTTTGTGATTTCCAGTCACTCAAGATCTGATTCTGAGATGAACGGCCAGATTCAGTTGTTACAAATTGGAAAACTCTTAGGTCTAGACTGTTTACAATTCATTACATTTGTGAAAAGCTGAAGGGAAACTATAGCAAAGTGCTGCTAATGGAAGCCCGTTTCCGCCATCTAAAAAAAAAGCCTACAGAAACTCAAAATGACGACTCTAAAACTCAAAATTACGAGTTTTAAACTGCATATGTGCAGTTGCTGCCCCATATGTATGTACATGGCATTTTGTGTGTTTTGTTGCCTCACAACCTGGAATTAACATGGATTGTTTGAGGATTTGCATCAGTTAGTTTACAGAACATGAGGGGCTGGTGCTGAGTGTACTGGGTGCAGCTCTGACTGCCACCCCCCGACCCAGAAATGGATTAAGGGGAAGAAAATGGATGGATGGAGTTTACAGAACATGCCCACAACTTTGAAGCTGTTGTCTTTTTTTTTTTATTGTGAAGCAAACAACAAGTACGACAAAATAGCAGAAAAGGTCAATGTGCATAACTATTCACCCCCCTAAAGTCAATACTTTGTAGAGCCACCTTTTGCGGCAATCACAGCTCCAAGTTGCTTTGGATAAGTCTCTATGAGCTTGCCACATCTTACCACTGGGATGTTTGCCCATTCCTCCTTGCAAAACTGCTCCAGCTCCTTCAAGTTGGATGGTTTGCGCTTGTGAACAGCAATCTTTAAGTCTGACCACAGATTTTCTATTGGATTGAGGTCTGGGCTTTGACTAGGCCATTCCTAGCCAGGCCATATCCATCCGTACACTCCGCTCAATCATCATTTCACTGCATGTAGCGTCTGGGTCTGGTCCCTGTGTTAGCTAATGTAGGTCGGTGCCGGTGACGTCAAGAGTTTGCGCCGAACGGGCAGGTTGTAGTTTGGCAGTGGCGAAGAATGCGATAGTAAAGTAATCCGGTCTGGTTCTATCAAGAAATGGAAGCAGGAGCATGAAGAATGTTTAGCAAATGTAATCGCTGGTCAAGATTGTGGCGCTACTCCCCACGGGCTCCGTTAGCTGCAAAGGAGATGGCTAGGCTAAATGCTAAATGCTAACAACACACTCGGGCGCATTACATACGTCACGGTACACTCAGATCCAATTGTTTCAATCTGCAAAAGGAGTTAACCCCTCCCACCTGTTCACGGAGCTCAATGGAACAAATCCAGACCTTAGTATGAAATGAAATTTGTACTAAGGTGTGGTACAACCAGGCTAAGCCATTCCAATACATTTACATGTTTCTCCTTAAACCACTGAAGTGTTGCTTTAGCAGTGTGTTTAGGGTCATTGTCCTGCTGGGAGTCTCCCACATGCCTTTTCGCGAACTCAAAACGTGCCATTTTGTTTTTAGCTGAAAGTAATGGCTTTCTTCTGGCCACTCTGCCATAAAGTCCAACTCTATGGAGCGTCCGGCTTATTGTCGTCCTATGTACAGATACTCCAGTCTCTGCTGTGGAACTCTATCTTAGGCCTCTGTGCTGCCTCTCTGATTAATGCCCTCCTTACCCGGTCCGTGAGTTTTGGTGGGCGGCCGTCTCTTGGCAGGTTTGCTGTTGTGCCATGTTCTTTCCATTTGGTTATGATAGATTTGATGGTGCTCCTGGGGATCATCAAAGATTTGGATATTTTTTTATAACCTAACCCTGATTTGTACTTCTCAACAACACTGTCCCTTACTTGTTTGGAGAGTTCCTTGGTCTTTCATGGGTGCCCGGTGGCGACCCGTGGTCGGCGAGTGGCTGGCGAGACTGCGGCCCGGTCCCGGGACAGAGAAGAGCGGAGGACAATAGGAGACGGAAGAGCGACTCTGGGCTTTTACCATGTTTTTTAATGGACCTTTGTAAATATTTGATTACATTTT